AGCAGGAACTACGCCGAAGGCCACAGGTGGCTTCCAGCAGAAGTCACTGACCGGCTGGGCTCCCGAATGTACGTGGTCTGACTGCCTGATGACCGCAGGGTTCGCCGACATATTGACCAGTTCCGACAACGATGGCCTGCCACAGACCTTGGGTTCAAAGGAACTACACCGAAGGCCACAGATGGCTTCCAGCAGAAGTCACTGACCGGCTGGGCTCCCGAATGTACGTGGTCCGACTGCCTGATGACCGCAGGGTTCGCCGACATATTGACCAGCTCCGACAACGATGGCCTGCCGCAGACCTTGGGCTCAACTCCCACTTGCCTCTGGAAGTGGTGAGTGCTGATGGTTCTGAGTCAGGACAGACCCCTGCACTCTCCGGCCCTATCGAGCCAGGTAACCCTGCAATGCCAGATGCTGGCCCTGGCCCAGTCCCCATACCTGACGAAGCCCCCACACTTCGCAGATCACAAAGAACCCGGGGCCCCTCCTTATCTCTCAGACTATCAGTGTGATGCTATCTAAGGGGGGAGGAGTTGTTATGTCTTGGTAGTAGTTATGCGGATTGTAGTTACTGACCAATGGTGTGTATTCTGGAGGGAATGGTTTTGATTGGACGTTATGTATCGCTTGTGATTGGTTGTAACATACCTAATGTGATTGGTTATTGTGAAACATTGTAGGTGTGGCTATGTCAGCCAGAATTGTATATAAGTTGCTGTTTTGCCTATGGAAGTTGTCTAGCTGGTCTAGCACCTACGAGGCTGAGCCTTCATGCTGTTATCACTGAATAAAGCTGAAATCACTTGTTGAACTGTTCCTCTGAGTTAAGTGGCATACTTAACAGAGACGAAGGCCCCTCAACAGTCACAGGAGGTGAGGAAACCACAGTTGACGCAGCCACCAAGGTGTGATGAGGATGCATGAGGTGGCATCCACCATAATCTTTTGAATAACTCTGGAGATGAGAGGAAGCGGAGGGAAGAAGTAAAATAGGGTCCTGGTCCATCTCTGGAGGAAGGCATCCCCGAGGGCAGTGTTCCCTCTAAGCTGACTTAGAGTGAGCTAGCTCACAGTTTTTTAGCTTCCAGCTCACAATTTTTTGTCTTAGCTCAGGAAGGATGGCTCCAGCACAAAGTAATTGATGCAATAGCCAAACCGCTTGCTCAAAGCTTTAATGCCAGTAGCTCACAAAGTAGAATTTTTGCTCACAAGACTCCACAGCTTAGAGGGAACATTGCCCGAGGGACCAGGCGGATGCAGGGCCTCGTGCAAAAAAGAGAGGACATCGAGCATTCTCCGAAGTCACAAAGCCATCTATGGTTGGGCGACTGAAGTTGAAGAAGACCAGGTGAAGATAACGAGGGTGCAGATACCACTCATTGTCGTGGGGCGCAGTGCGACTCAGACGATTGGCATTGATATTCTGAACACCTGGGATGTGAATAGTCAATATGGAGTTCGAATGTCGAAGACACCACTTCCAGAAGTGCAGAGCCACACGATGCAGATGAACTGAGGCAGTGCCCCCTGTTTGTTGATGTAAAAAACAGTGGCCATGTTGTCAGAGACAATCTGGACAACTTTGCCCGTCAGAAAAGGAAGGAACGAGATCAGGGCGAGATGAACAGCATGAAGCTCCAGAGCGTTGATATGGAGAGTCCTCTCTCGAGGAGTCCAAGTTCCTCTGGCAGACAGAGTCCCACATTGGGCTCCCCAACCCCAAAGGTCTGTCGATAGGCAGATCTCTGGAGATGGATGTCAAAATGGCATGCCAGCGAGGAGATGCTGCGGGAGCGACCATCAGGTCAGGCTGCTGAGCACCAGAGGTGGAATGGCAAACATCATGCTCCAGTGACTTTTCTGAGAATCGAAGTTGTGGAGGAACCAGAGTTGAAGCGGGCGCATCCGCAGTCTGGTCTGAGGGACCACAAACACTATTGAAGCAAAGTGGCTGAGGAGTCTCATAATTGAGCGAGCCAATTGTTGAGGGCAGTGCTGAAAGGTGGAGACAGTATGTCTTGGGCCCTGGATTCCGGGAGGAGGGCTGTCTCAATTGTGGTGTCGACACAGGCTCTGAGGAATTGTAAGACCTGAACAGGTTGGAGGGCAGACTTAATTGAATTGATGCACAGCCCCAAGGAGCGTAGATGAGATAGTGTAGCCTGAACATCCTGTTGAAGTTGAGACTCCATTGATGCTACAAGAAGCCAGTCATTGTTATACGGATAAAGGACGATCCCTCTGTGATGCAAATTCTGCCACGACGACAGCCATCATTTTCGTAAAAACCCTGGGGGCCATACAGAAGCCAAAGGGAAGGACCCTGTACTGGTAGTGAGCGTTTCTGATAGCAAAGCAGAGAAAATTGCGATTTTGAGGTCGGATGGTGACATGTAAGTAGGCATCTTGGAGATCTATCAATGCTAGCCATCCAGACCTTGGGAGGAGGGGAAGGATCGATTACAAGGTGATCATTCGAAACTTTTTGCAATGAACAAAATGGTTGAGATCACTAAGGTCCATGATGGCCCGCAATCCGCCATCCCGTTTGGGAACCACGAAGTAACTGAAGTAGAAGCCCAGAGTCTGTTGCGCCTCCGGCACGGTCTCGATGGACCCCTTGTCAAGAAGTGTAAGCACCCCCTATCAAAGCGATGGATCCGGGGGTGTGATGACAAAGTGAGAAAGGGTTGGAGGCGAAATGAACTCTATGGCATACCCGACCCATACGATGGTAAGGACCCAGGTATCAGTTGTAATGTCTTCCCAAGATGGAAGGAAGGGAAAGATGACCGGGGGGGGGGGGTGAAAGAAAGCGGCAGTGGCAGGTGATCCAGGTGGTCAAATGGACTGCTTGGGTTGTTGTGATTTCTTGGGCGCTTGGAGCCTTGGCTTTTGAGGTGGACAAGAATCATAGGATTGTCGCCTCCATTGTGTGGCAGCAGCAGGAGAAGGCTGATGTTTATTATAGTAGGGTTTCCATTGTCAGTATTGAGAGCGGAGCATGGAAGTAGAGATTCCTAAATTCCTAGCGTTCTTTCTACTATCATCAACAGCCTTCAGGGTCTCGTCCATGGTGGAGTGAAAGAGACCATTGCCATCAAAGGGCAAGTCTTCGATCTTAACCTTGACATCAGTTTGAAGAAATGTATTTCTAAGCCAAGCATTGCACTGAAGAACAATGGAAGATGTAAGGACCTTGGAGGAACAAGTAACAGCGTGCCATACCAAGTTGATTTGTGGTTTCAAAATCAAGCAAATCTCCGAAAAAGCAGCAGATAGAGTGGGCCTATACTCATCTGGGATGGAATTGAGAACTGGACGAACAGCTGTAGCCACATTGAAAGTGTAAGCGGAAAGGTAGGACAGGTAAGTATCAATCCTAATGTTCATGGCAGCTACAAAGTAGATTTTCCTCGCAATGGAATCAATCTTACTACCCTCACGATCAGGAGGAACGGATTGTCTCAGCTGTTTAGATTTTGAGGAAGAATGAATTATCATGGGATTTGGTGAAGGATGATTGAAAAGGAATTTCCCTGAGGACTCCTGGATTTTATAAATGGCGTCATATCTCTTCGATATCAGAGGTATGGAAGTGGGACAATCCCATGGCTCTTTGAGCACCGGAAGGTGCATTGGCAGCAAAGGTAGAATTGTCAATGGTGGCAAATCTGCCTCGACCAGCTTATGGACGACAACACCTCGGGGGTATCGATAGAACCCTGCACTTGGAGTGCTGTGGCCATCCTAGTGACAAGCTCCAAATAAGCCTTAGGCCCTGCAGTTGGTGAAAGGGAACCAGAACGGTGACTGTCTTCCTCAACAAGAATCATGTTAGGGTCCAGATCACCCGAAACGAAGTGGTCAGACACCGAGTCCGGAGATGGTGATCGGATATGTTGAGACACATCCATGGTTGTCTGGGTATCAGTGGGCAGATGGTACCAAGGTTCTGATGGAGAACGCTTCGGGGCATCTGCTGATATCAACGCATCTGGAGGTTGGTCAGGCTCCAGAAAATGGACCGAGGTGACAGAGCATGAGCATCGAGCATGAGCCAAGATTGGCCAGCGACGCTGGAGATCAACGTCTTGTAAGGACATATAGTGGTCTCGAATGGAGTGGAGGACCAGGAGTAAGAACGTGTGGGATACAATCTACGGTAACTGTCACTCTTGACAGACATATTCATCCACTCAAAACCACTTCCAAAACCTCTCCCCCCTCTGTCAATCACCAATCACACCACTCTTGTCTCTTCAACCACTCTAATATATCTCAGCCATGCAACCAAACTTTTAAAGAGACACACACACACATATAAAACAAGGAATCATTACAGTCACCTACAGAGCTTCCACTGTAGAAGCAGTCGGATTGAGACTGTGATCAGGAGAGCGATCTGCGGTAGTCATATCCCCTGCGATCATAACGGGATCGAGATGATCAGTCCAACATTCCATCCAGTAGGCCATGCCAATTCTATAACCTCTGCACAACAATGGGTGGGAGGTCTAGTGGTTACAGAGCTGATCCTGATCCGGGATAGGCAGTTGGGAGTCATGAGATGTAGATCGATGGGCTGTAGTCCAGAGAGAGCCATGGTGAGAGGTGGAAGAGTTCCGCAGCGGTGACTTAGTGTGTTGACCAGGTGGAATGTGGTCCGCTGGGGAAGATAAGGTCGGCGGCAAAGTCAAAGATCAGAGCTTAGACTTCTGCGGAGGCGCTGCTGAAGAGGACACCATCGGAGTCTATGTCAAAAAGCCGGAGATCACCACGGGATTGAGTTTGGGAGCCGAAGTTTTTTGTTTTTTTTTGATAATTTTTTATTGAATTTTTTAACACATAAATAAAACAAACATACGCATAAACATACAACAAAACATGAAACCCTCCACCCTCTAACCCCTGTCAGTTTAATAGTTTTACTTCTACACCACTTAATTAATTATATATTTTGTACCTAATCTCTGTTTCATTAATAACAAATTAAATCTTTCTGATCCTTATTTAATTTCTGGCCTCTTAATTCGGAACAAATATATATTTCTATTCCTATTGGAGCCCTGCAGTTCATTAAAGTCCCCAACTAATTTACAGCTATGACTGTATCACCAGCATCACTACCACCAACATATGTTTAAGAAAAGCTGAATCATCTACAGTTCATGTATTTATATCTAGTTTCTCTGTTTATCAATTCCTAGGTCACTATTTTTCCTGGTTAAATCCTGTGGGAGTCAATATAATGAATTAACCTTGCGCCTTTAATTTCTCTAAGTTGGCATTAAATTGTAGTTCTTTTCTGCATCGATTTTCTTCATTCTCGCTCCTATGCCGCTGATCTTTGTATTCAGTGACTTTTTTGGCTTTTTTATGTCCCAGTTCAGAGCTTTTTTAAGGTAAAAACCTTTTGTTCTCCTTGGATCTTTCTTTATTTTCTTTTCCTCTATCTTCCTCCTTTCTTTCTTGCTCCATACACCTGACAAATCAACTTTTTTGGCTTGTCCCGTTTTCGGTCTTGCTTTGTCTGCTTTGTCCACCTTTCCTTCTGTCCTGTTCCATGAATCTTGTTCGTGTACATCATTCTCTTTAAGAGCAGATAGGCTGCCTTGATGCTCCCTCTCTTGTTCAATTTGCTGAAGTTCTTTCCTCTCCAGAGTGCCCGAAATGTCTTTAGTTTGCTCACATACACTGTTC